TTTTCAAACTTTTATGGCTCACCTCAGACTTTTTTTTTTGGCTTGATTAGAGCAGAGTAAATCTTCCCTTTTTTTGAATGTAGTTTGGTGAGGGTAAATTTCATAACTCTAAAAACAACCTGAGCCTCACAACTTCTGCAGATTCCTCTTGACTCTATTTTTCCTGTGTGGAAAAGTTCAGCTTGTTGTTTTTTTTCTGATGAAATCCAATCTGAGGCCTTTCCTCCATCATGTTTCTGGCCTCTCTCTTACAAGAGTGTTACACTAAAATCTCCACTTTTCTTTATGGAGCCTGGTGAGGCTCAGAGGTCTTTTCATGCGGTGCTTCCTTTCACCGGAATAACAAAAGATGGCTGACAGCTCTCTGCCTCATTCACAGAACAATGAGAACCTTTCCAACGAGCTCTCCAAAGCAGGTTCCCACAGAAGAAGCTGCTGCAACAACCAAACCGAATGAAGCGGAACGCAGAGGTACAAACATCGGGCATCAAACGCCGGGAAACGAGTTTACGGCTCTCAAGATCTGTGAAAAAACTGAAAGAGACTGAAAATGTTTTTCCCACACTTAAGAAGCTGGAACAGGGACTTGATTGGTTGATTATTTCAAGTACTATAACAAGCCTAATGAGGTAATGTGACCACAATAAGGTAAAATGTCCAACATTTAGGGCTGGGGCTCATTGCTGTAATCAAAAAATGGAGAAGAAACTTCTTATAAGTAAGTATCAACTCCAAAAGCTGCAGTTCCTCTAATGTCCATTAGGGAAGTTTGTCTTAACTCATGTGAAGACGCTCTGGTAAAGAACACGAGGAAGGAAACTAAAAGTTAACTTCTGGAATTAAATTCAACACGTTACTGTAAGTGATGTTTTTCTTGACCTTAAATGTGGACTGAGGGGTTCAGTGAACCTCATTTTCATCGCCTGTCACTAGAAAAGATCCAGAAGGATCTGCAGCTCCATATATATTTCAACCAATTCAACCAATCAGATGGCCCCATGTGAAACTGTGGACCAATCAATGACAATGCATCCCTCCATGGGGGCTTTCTGTTCTCACCGTCTGGATTCTGAAATGAGACAGAGCTTCAGGGTGAAGTTGATCATTTTCAGTCCTTCATCACGGTGGTGGAGCTGGAGGTGGAGGAGCTTCTTTAGTGACCTTCCTAAACGTTTCATTAGAGCTCAGCAGGAAAAGTGGCGAACCACCTTCTCTTCATCAGCTCACCATAACCATCATCATGTGACTAACAACACGTAAAAGGTCCAACAGCTGATTACACAATCAAAGCCAACAGGAAGCATATCTTATTTATAAGATCTTTCAAAATAAACGCTCCCATCAGTAGGGAGATAAAAAACCAAAGTCGAGCTGTGATAACTGTTATTCTGAAAGAGAGGCTGAAGCAGGAAGAACCTTCCATGTTCTACAGAGAGGATAAGGAAGGATGAAGGCTGGTCGTGTGTGGTGATTGGCTCTGGATCATTCTGGCACTTCCTCTTTATAAACCTTTGACCTAAAGAAGCCCGTCCAGCCTCTGTTCTGGGTGTCTGAGGTTGTTCTCGTTGTTATTCCACTCGGCTGCAGCTGAATCGCCCATTTAGCCATCGAACATGGGCGACGTGGCGGCTCAAAGAAGAAGCTCAGTGTTTGCTCTGCAGATCTAACTCTGATTAAATTCTAATCGGGCCTCTGTTAACCCTCCGCCGCTCTGATTATGTCCTCACATTATCGCCCTCTGTCACATACAGGGATAAACCCTCCAACGTAATCCAAGACGCACATTAAAGTCACGAATGTGTGAATATTCAGAGACCGTGTGGAGCGCCGACTTAAACAGATCTCTGAGTCACAGCCGGCGCCACACGGTTACTGTGGGCTTACAGTCCAGAAGTGACCCCAGAACCATGATGCAGATCTGAGGACGTGATGGCTCACGCATCACCCATAAATCTCACTGATGATGTCACAGCCACAATAATGAGAACAGCTGATTGACATTAAACAATTTCCTAAAAATACAAAAAACTTATTATCTAACCTCTGAACTCTGAACTCCAAGCTCATCCAAACACTAATAGGACCCACATCACGCCCCCTATTCCCACCTCTACACCCGCATGTACAAAAGTCATCCATCCATCCATCCATTCTCTGCCGCTTATCCTTTTCAGGATCGCGGGGGCGCTGGAGCCTATCCCAGCTGTCTGGAATTTAGAGTTTCCAAATAACCTTACCCCACTAAGGCCATGTCCACACTAATACGTTTTCGTTTGAAAACACATCTTTTTCTCTCCGTTTTGGCCTTCTGTCCACACTGAGACGATCAAGGAAAACTGAGGGTTTTGAAAATGCTCTCCAAAGCGGATACATTTGAAAACGCCATATTCGCGTCGCAGTGTGGACAGCGAACCCGGAGCCTTTTCGAAAACTATGACACATTTTAGTCATGTGATGCAGTCATGTGACCAAATAAACTAAGAGTGTGGAGGGCATTACACAGCAGTTGTTTTGTTTGCTCTCAATTTTGACAGCCCTATTAAAGATTAATATCAGTTTGTACATGCTCCAGATAGCTTTTCTTCCAATTCTTTAACTCTCACTCGCTTTTGCAACTTTGTACTTTTGTGTTACTCACAGCAACAACTCCACCTCATTGTTTTAAAAAAACTCTGTGCTTTTCCTCAACATTTTGCCGCGACATTTCAAAGAGCCGGAAAGTAAATAAACGGCAGACAGAAATGAGGCAGGTCGAATCGTCTTGCTTTTCACGCATAGGCAATACAGGAACATGTTTCCTGTATTGCGTTTCAATGTGGATGAACAACTCTGTGAAAACAAATGAAAACAATAGTGTGGACGCGGAGTGTTTTTAGACGTATACGCCGTTTTCAATTTTATCCGGGCTAGTGTAGACGTAGCCTAACTGCATGTCTTTGGACTGTGGTAGGAAGCCAGAATACATAAGTAACAGCTAAACAGGAAGTTCTCTGAAGTTTTAAGGTGCCAAACTCAACATTTCATCAGGTCGCCTCCATTTTTGGTTAGCTTCATCTGAAGGACCTCTGAGACATAGGTTTCACTGGGGGGCGTGGCCACAGTGGCACAGTGAATTTCAATGTGCCACCTCATGGCGCTTAGCTAACTTAGCTGTTAAAGTTCCTGTTCAGACCTGAAATTACACCTGCACTGAGGAGATTCAGGCTTGTCTCATTCTACCGTACAACATGAACAGTGGATGGGTGCAGTGGATGAACAGTCTTTGTTCATCACGGGCCATATAAAATCTTCCCAAGGTCTTCAGCCCACTGCCACAGTTTGGGAATGACGGCATCCGAGGCCCTGGATGCAGGAGACCGAAAAGACCCAGGAGTACCAGACCTGGCTGAGTGACTATCTCCTACTCTTGGATCCAGACACCTTCTGGGCAGTCCTGCTAACAAATCAAGGAGGTGAGTTACTGCTAAACAGTTAAATGTCCCATCAGCCAATCACAGAACTGTTTGTACAAACAGTGAAGAACTGAGTTGATAAACACTGACTCCCATGGTGCATTTCAGCAGACCAACTAATCACTGACTTTAAATTCAGTCTAAAGATGGCACTGATTTTAAATATGTTTTACTAACAGCTGAAACATATCAGTGATTTCAGCGTCTTCCTCAGGATTGTGGGCAATGTAGTACGCTGCTGTTAAACCTGACATTTTAGAGACAAAGCAGCAGATTTGGATAAAAACAAATCTGGATTTGGATAAAACATTTATTCTTCAAAATAAAAGTTCCTCACACGGTTACATTTGTTAAAATGTGCGTCGTGTTATGTCCAAATAAAAGTCCAAAACTTAAGATGCTGATGTCAGTGAAACAGGAAATGCTTCATAAATTCTTCTTCTTCATACTCTTTACATTCAGCGCCTCGAATCAGAGCAGCTGTCAGAGGACAGGAAATTGGAAGCTTGGAGCATCAGATAGCGCTCAGAGCAGGATATTAACGCCACATGCGGATAGCGAGGATAACGAGGTGGAGGGGAACCCGTTACACTCTAAACCCGCCACGTTACTTCACAACTATCTCGACACTGAACAGGAAATAAAAGTCTGCAGCTTCCAGATGATTTTACAGGGACAGGAAACAGAAACTCGCAGACAGGAAGTCGTCCAGCATCAGCGCAACACTCGCTGGTCCTTCACAACAGGCTGACTTTAACCGTGAAACCGACGGGTACTTTATAAGCGTCCACAGGTGGCATGTCACAGGGCCATTATCATCTTGTCATCTTCACCCCGGTGAATAGCGCTGCATGACAAAAGTGACATCATCACCACTGGTCAGGCACCTCTCTGTTTTTGTAACCTCACTTGTGTTACTGTGCCCACAAAAACAACACACAGCAAGCACAAATGGACGTGTCTGTGTGATGCTGTCAACAGCTGATGGACTACACCCACAGGGGGTGCTATAGTAACCTCTGGCTTCAGCAGAAACATCAGGAACATCTGGCTTCACACATGACCACTCAGTCACTTTACAAAGAACAGACTGAGCATGTGCAGGAGGGCAGTAATAAAGGCATTGCTCCTAATATCTGTAAGTGTAAAGTAGATTTACCCAGATGCACCAGCTAAGAGTGAGTTTGTATATATGTGTGTGATGTGTGTGTGAGACTGTGTGTGTAAGTGTCTTTGTGTGAGTCTGTATTTGCGCATGTGTGTGCGGTGTGCGTGTGAGACTGAATGTGATAGTCTGTGTGTGTATGGGGGGTTTGTGTGTGAGTCCGTCTGTATTTGTGTGGTGTGCGTGTGAGACTGAGTGTGTGAGTCTGAGTATGTGTGTGTGTGATGCTGCAGCCGACTGACCCACTTTCCGCAGACACATCGAGCTGCTGGCTGTCGCGTGTCCGCCGCGCGCGCGCGCACACACACACACACCTCCCTCCTCCCCTTCCCCGGTTCCTGCGGTCAAACAAAGCCGCTGCGGCCGGAAGTGCGGCTCCTTACCTGGGTGAAGCAGAGCAGGTGGAGCGCGAGGAACAGCAGGTGCAGCATGGTGCGCGTGTCCCGGTCAGCGCGCGCGATCCCTGGCCTTCTTCCTCTCAATCTGCTGCGCATCCAAACAATGGCGCCTCCTCCTCCTGCTGCTGCATCGGAGCGCGAGCCGCGCCGCGCGCACAAGTCTGTGTCCGCTCCGCTTCTCTGAGCGCGCACCGCCTTCACCATCAGAACCGCGGGAAGCAGCACCGGACCGGCCCACATTCACAGACAGGCCGGGCAGCGGGGTCCATGCCGCAGCCCGCAGACGCCAGCAGATCGGTGACGGTGTCGGTGATGGAGCTGCTGCTGCTGCTGCGCGCCGACGCCCCGCCCTGCGCCCCGCAGCCGCTCCTCCTCCTCTTCATCAGCTCCCTCTGAGAGGCGCTCAGACTGAAATTACTCACAACATCCTGTCTCCAAACTTTATTTCACCGCAAACATAAAAAACACAAGGAAGAAAACACAACCGTCACGTGACGTCACATCACACATTAAAATCACATCGCTCTGCTGCTCACTGACGCAGTGATCACTCTTCACTGCATCAGAGCTCAGAGTAACTGTAACTCAGAGTAACTAGCTCAGAGTAACAATAACTCACAGTAAGTAACTGTAACTCAGATTAAGCAACTGTAACTCAAGAGTAACTGTAACTTAAAGTAAAGAGCCAGCATGTCTGGCTGTCTCCACATGGAAGCCAGGCGTCCTCACACAAACCACTGTGCAAGCACAGAGACAAAAACACGTCTGTCTTTAGAAGCTGGAGAACATCTCTCACGCATGGCCCCATGACCGTTTTTAACGACCAATGTTCCCTCTAATTTTTCATGTGTCTGAGCGAACACACAAACTCCCTGAGCGGTCCCTTGGAGCACTGTGAGCAACAGCAGGCGTGTGCACTGTGGTCACGCCAGCATCGAATCCATCCAAGTTACATGGTTTATTAAAATAATCAAATTACAGCATTTACATTTATGTTACACTACTTTTAATTAACTGCTTTAGCCCACTTACAATGAAAATGTAAAAGAAATCTTGTTCATGACCTGTGTAGTATGTTAACACTATAGGAAGTAAAAATAACTTGAACTTTGAATTTTGAAAAAACAACTTTCTTTTTTTTTTTCCTTTTTTTTTTTTTTTATAAAGCTCTGACTTGTATTATGAGTCTGTGGTCTGGGAGAGAGTCCTGTAACTCTCTGTCTGCAAAATACAGTAAATAATGACCAATGTTGGGCAATAATTATATAGTTACTTCTTCAAAAAAGTATGCAATGCAGTTATGCAAACAACAACGTTATTTGCAGCTGTTTACCTAAAAATGCAGCCAAGGCGTTTTTTTAAATAAACATTTACAGAACAATCAGCTGTTCTGCATCAAATTTGATGCCACACAAATTATTTGTGCCACTCCAAAAAAAAATTGCTGTCCACTATGAGATAAAGGAGAACAACAGCCTGATCAGGCCTGACAACAGGAGATGTATCACTCCTGTAACACCTGTAACATTTAGCAGTCGCCTCATTGTTCTGACACACACAACAAAACTAGTGACTACACAACACACTAACTACACAAGATTTGCGCTAAATGTCACAAATCTCTCACATCTCAAAACACAGCTGTCCCTCCTAAAACTTCCCCCCTTCCTAAACAACTAAATACCATGTTGCCAAATCATTTTTTGATTGGTTGACATGGTACATTTTTCCACCAATAGGAAAGGGTGGGGTTTTTTTGGTTTTGTTTTTCCTCACAGGCTGAGAGAGTTTATAAACAACCATAGTATTCAGGAAGAAAATCAAACATTGCATATATTTTTAATCATAACTCTGGTTTTACGTGGATTATCAACACAATTTAAAAACTGGTATAAGGTCCACACTTTTCCCCTCAATTGTTCCATCTGTCCTGCTCACATCTCCAATGGTTGTACACTTCTCTCCACATCAGCCACGCTGCTTTGCCAGCTAAAACACCGGTGTTGGCACATAAAGACGCTGTCATAGCCTGTCAAGGACGTTCATTAGCTGCGTATATACGAATGTGAATTGCATTATTGGCTGGACTATGGGATAAGGTGGCATCGTTCTAATCCCATACGGGAGCAGCCAGTTACTTACTGATCAACACTGCAAATCAGAATTGTTAAAGTATTAATTTTAATTTCAATTCAGGTTTGATTTTTTTTCTGTGTGCAAGGCAGATTTTCTGTGCGCAGAAACGTCCCAGCAGTGCGCAATTGCTCATGCGCGCAGCTTAGAGGGAACATTGTTAACGACCAACACTGTGAGAGCTTCCAATATAAACACAAGATCATGATGAAAAATAACTGTTACCTACCAAAGACCCATCACAAAATACCTCCTCCCCTAAGAGTTCTGTGGATGTCCACAAACTGACCACACTGTCAGGTGAAACGTGTGATACCAGAGGAGCTCCACAGCGCCCTCTCCTGTGGCAGTAACAAACAACGTGACAACCTGCCGTGGTCTACACTAATAAAGCCTAGCTGAATAAATGCTTTAAGGGCAGCTTCCTTAGAACCAGAGACAGCGAAGACTGATGAGAAATCCAGGTTATCCCTCTGACAGCATCTGTGGGTGAAAGTTCAGCTGATCACGTGTGTCCTGTTCCTGAGGAGGTTGCAGACCAAGCCAAACACTGTGTTTTTCACACACTGTCTCATTTGGGATCTTGGTGATGTCATAGAGGCTGCCGAGGCGCCATTTTAGCAGGCCAAACAAAGGGCAAAAGGAGCGAAAGCATCAGTAATGGTTCATCCTTGCTGTGTTGTCAGTTGTAATGTTAGATCGCACGATCGGGAAGGGAACAAGCTGGAAAATTGGCTCTCTTTTTATTCTTTCCCCACCTGGAAGCAACATGAGGGAGCTCATGTATCAGATGTTACCAAAAGAAGGCGTCTAGCCTGGATAGCAGCTGTGAGACGAGCTGATATCCAGTTCTCTACCATCCACAGATATCTGTTGGTGCTCCAGACATTTTCATTCGGGTAAGTTCTACATAATTTCATATCACTCTTTATAGCCTATTAGTTTTATTTTCAATGCGCTCTGAAGTCATAGCAAATTAGAACAAACATCCTAATGAGTGATTTTGTAGATTTACGTTCTATTTATAGAGTTGCTAATTTTTTTTCATTATGCAGGCAAACCAGCCCATGAAATGAATGAAACAAATCCTGACTGGGTTCCAACGCTACACGTGCGGCACTACGAAATCCCTGCTTCAAACTACATGCTGCATACCACCATGCCAATCAGATGACTTCTTCCATGTGAGGGTGAAGAGCTGACCCTCCTGGATAAGATGGTGAAGGTTTGCTGCATTTTGGTGAACATGTGCCCCAGTGTGGTAGTAAAACCAGGGAAAAATACTTGTTAAATACTCTTAAGTCTTGTGCTGTTTATGTAGTTATAAGTTTTCAAAAGAGACAGTAAATTACAGAATGCTAGTAGTGGGTGATATTATTTAAATGCTGTCATGATTTTATGTAAACATTTTGTCATTTGTAAACTATACATGACATTGATTCTACTGATGTGATGTTCTACAAAGTGCTTTTAATTTAAAAAATAAAAGAGGCAAACATTACTTTGTTTCTTTATTCAACTTTTGAACAGTAGTAATTAGTAAGTACATGCTCAGTAAATGCAAATTATTTACATGGCAGTGCACTACAGGCATAAATGTGGACCGCTAAATACAACATTATGGGTTATTCAGAACAGAACTATACTTGGAGAAATATTTTCCCATCAGTTTAGACAACTCCTCCACGGTAGCAGGTGGAACTTCTTTTACCCGTCACTACGGATGGTCTGTTTATGTTTTGATTGAGAGCCTTTTTTGGGGCAGCTGAAGAGGAGAAGTCTATCTTATGGCCAACCTCTGACTATATCTTGGTCACATTACCCAGCAAAACCCAGCGTGCAGGTTCATCTGTAACAGTCCTTGTGCCACGGATCCGCACTGTTGCTTCTACATTAAACAGAAGAGCAGTGACGTGGGTGCAGGTCTCCGCGACTCCGGCCATACAGGTGCAGTGGGCGGCTTTAACCTTCCCTGTGATGCTCACAATGACCCATGGCTGCAATGCTGGTTCATTCAGTCTTTGAGAGTGCAGTACCTGAAACACACACAGACAAAGTTAATTTAAAGACAAGAGCTATGAGCCAAGGCCGACACAAACGTGTTTTATCTACTTTATCATAAATGTAACAAAGTGTTTAGAAAGTTGGCACATGTAATTTTTTTTTTATCTTTTTATGTATCCATCTAAAGAACGCTGCATGTTATATTCTAAATCTGCCTGTTTTGTTTGTTTTTTTTAAATCTGCCAGCAAAAAATGAACCTAAAGTATGTAATGCAAGGATGTAATCACTTTCAAGAGGGAGAAAGCATAAAGTTCGACTTTAAGTGACAATTATGAATCACCTAATGTGATAAGGAGATTCTGCAGGTCATGAATCAATGTATAAAACTAAAATAGAATGTGTAGAAGATGTGTAATAAGGATTATTTATAATAAATATGAATTAATTAGTGCAATTTCTTTAACCATAGAGAATGACTAAATCCTTGGGGACAATGTCACATCAGTGCACTGAACTCACTATGTTATCCCTCTAACAGCCTCCACGTGTTCTCACTGTAATTCCCCCTCATGAATGAATTTATGCTGCACTAATGTGAATGTTTGGAGGGAAATCAAACGCATTTTACTCGCAGCACTCAAGCTGACTTACCTTTGTTTGAATGATGACGTATTCACGACGTGGAGGCTTAAAAATAGTCAAATCTTGTATCCAACCGTTGGTGAATTGGATGTGCGCTTTCAGACATGTATAATTGCGAAATTGGTTCGCTGTGTACGCGCAGACTCCACAGGTACGAAAATATATCAGGCTACGTCAATAGCGGTTGGTCTTCAGGGTTTCTACTCCACTGGCGTTATTTCATACGGGTCCACATTTCCAATGCACGCTATTTTTTGCAAGTACCGTCTCTTTGCATCCGGACGCAGTCTGTCTCTATATCGTCCTTTTTCTTTGGACCTGCTTTTAAGTATGGTTCATAGCAAACTTTCTTCCAACACAGTGTGTTTGTTTTGATTTGTGACCTGCTAAAATGGTGGCGTGCTCCCACAATGCATTGCGGCGTGATGTCAACTCCAAAGCCCTATATGTGAGGGAAAGTAAAAAAAAACACAGCTCTTACTTTCAGATCAACCGGACTTTGATCAGCTGTTTGTGTCACTGCTGTTTCCTTCTCCATGACGCTGAAGCGACTGAAAATTATTTTTATTTTGAAAGGGAGAAATTCTTTTTCCAAAAGTTGCAAACAGTCATCATGATCCTGAAACAGCAACGGGAACTGGAAGCTTTGTCTGCTTCAGGTGAAAGTCTGCCTTCACGACCTGAAGATGCATCATGAGCCTGCTCCACCCCCTGCTGGTGGAAACCCCACATTACCAGACTGCTGCTTCATCTGCTGTCACCACATCCGATAAACATCTAGAAAACATCCAACAAACATTCAGCAAAGATCCAGAAAACATGACCACAGCCTCAATGACTACAGACCTCACATATGTAGTCCTGCAGTGTTTCGTGCAGATAGTGTCTCAGCACATCAGAGACTGCCTACCTCCTCCATTGACCCCCACCAGTTTGCATCAAGAGCAAATCAGTTCACAGCAGAAGCCATCACCCTTCACAGAGCGCTGAGCCATCTGGAGACTAGGAAGAGCTAGTGAGGATGCTCTTGGTGGAGCACAGCTCAGTGTTCAATACCATAATCCCAGACATCCTCACCTTCAGATCCCCTGTGCCATCTGCTCCTGGATTAAAGACTTCCTACCAAACCGGCCTTAATCAGTCTGACTCAGCCCCCACCTCACCCTCCAACTCAGCACTGCACCCCTACTGTGCACCCTGTACACAGTAGGGGTGACTAAACACAACCCACCCAATCAATGTCGCCATCAAGTATGCCAATGACACCACCGTGGCTCATCTCTGAAGGAGATGAGACAGCATACGGTATAAATACAGTGAAGCTGAACATCTTTAAAACAAAAGAACTCATAATGGACTTCAGGAGGCACAGACAGGTGCCTTCTCATTATAAATGGAGAAGGGTGGACTCTGTCTCCACCTTTAGGTTTCTGGGCACTCACATCACCTGGACCCACAACACCATTGCCCTGGTAAAGAAGGCCCAGCTGTGGCTGCACTTTCTCTGTGTTCTGAGGAAGAATAACCTGGACCAGAAGCTGCTGCTGGCCTTCTACTGCTCCTCAGTGGAGAGTGTGCCCTCCTCCTGCCCGGGTGTTCGGTACCCATGAGCCACGACTGAGAACCGGAAGGCTGCACAGAGGGTTATTAACACCGTTCAAAAAATCATTGGCTGCCCTCTGCCACCCCTGCAGGCCATTGCCAGATCCTCCTGTCTCAGGTAAACCAGGGCCGTCTCAGGTGTCTCCTCGCACTCTGCCGGTTTCCCCCTGCCCTCTGTTCACAGGTCCCACCCCATCAGATTCACTAACAGCTTCTTCCCCTTGGCCATTTAGACGGTTAGCAAACCCTATCCCCCCACACCCCACCCACAAATATGAACCATGGTCTGAGTAACCCCCATCACTCAGGTCACTCACACACAGACTCTATTCAGACAAAGTTTTTTTCACTACTTTCAAGCACTTTGTTCTCTAATGTGTGCTTTTCTATTGTTCTGTAAATATTCCTCCTGTCCACTATTTCTATTTTATTCCTGCACAGTTGGTGTGGAGCACCCATAATTTCGTTATACATGTACAATGATAATAATAATAATAATAATGATACATTTTATTTATCGGCGCTTTTCAGGCCCTCAAGGTCACCTTACAAGAACACGTGAACAATAGCATAAAAAACATTTAAAAAAATTATGTATATATAATAAACATGGTAAAATAAAATTTAGACATAAACAGTCATAAAAGTATAAAGACAAGTATAAAAACTGAGCAAGGTAAAAATGGACTAAGACAGATCAGGTGTATGCAATTCTAAATAGATGAGTTTTGAGACGTGATTTAAAAGTGGTGAGACAGTGTGTGGTCCGGAGAACAAGTGGAAGTGCATTCCAAAGTCTCGGGGCAGAACAACTAAAGGCTCTGAGTCCAATGGTAGTCAGGCGAGCAGGTGGAAGAGACAGAAGGGAAGCTGAAGAAGCGGAGTGTACGAAGGGATGAGTATATATGGAGAAGATCGGATAGATATGGAGGAGCGAGGTTATGAAGTGCTTTGAAAGTGAGAAGCAGGATCTTGAAATTGACACGGAGGTGAACTGGAAGCCAATGGAGCTGTTTAAGAACAGGTGTTATATGTTCAGTGGATCTAGGTCTGGAAATAATACGAGCAGCTGTATTTTCAACTAACTGCAATTTATGGAGGGATTTATGAGGTAGGTCATAGAGAAGAGAATTACAGTAATCCAGACGAGATGTGACAAGAGCATTGACAAGTATGGTGGTACTGTGTGGTGTGAGTGAGGGAGGAAGACGGTTAATATTACGGAGATGAAAGTAGGAAGACCGAGTGATATTATCTATGTGTGCTGTGAAAGACAGAGTGCTATCGAGAATGACATCAAGACTCTTAACCTGAGGGGAGGGTGTGACATCAGAGTTATCAATGGATAACGAAAGACTGGTTGTAACTGTAGTCAGTTTTGATCTGGTGCCTATTAAAATGAATTCTGTTTTGTTGCCATTAAGTTTAAGAAAGTTGTGAATAAACCAGACCTTGATTTCACTTAAACAGTCAGAAATGGATGTGGGTGGGAGAGTAGCTGTGGGTTTGGAGGATAGGTAGAGCTGGGTGTCATCTGCGTAGCAGTGAGACTGGATGTTATGCTTCCTAAAAATATTACCTAGGGGTAGGAGATAAATGATAAAAAGTAAAGCCAATAGATGCTAATCTGTGAAGGAGGATGCACTGGGAGATAGTATCAAAAGCTGCTGTGAGGTCAAGGAGAATGAGGCTGGAGATAAGTCCTGAGTCAGCTGCAAGCAGAAGATCATTGGTGATTTTTACTAGAGCTGTTTTTGTACTGTGACATGAATGGAAGCCGGACTGAAACTGTTCGTACAAGTTATTTTCAGTGAGATGACGATGAACCTGTGCAGCCACTATCTAGAATAAAGGGCTATTCTATTCTATTCTATTCAGACACCCAGAATTCTGACTTCATTTCCCAGATTTCTTATGTATTTTTCTGAAAATCCTACAAATATATGATTTTGTTGTGAGATGTTTAACTCTCACACGCATTTGAAACATTTTAACTTTAATCAAAGTTTTCAATCTGAAAATTTCCACTGCTTGGTGAAAATACTGAGTTTAAACCCATGTAAACATTCCTCAGAACCACCAGTTCAAAGGTTAAAGGTTAACCCGGGATCTGGTTTCACTTTTTAAAGTCTTTTAAAAACTGTTAGAAAAAGCAAATTCACTAAAGTTCAGTAACTAAAGAAATGTGAACTTTTCGTGGTTTCAACCACTTTTTTCAGACGGTCACTGTGGAAACAAAGTTCAACTCTTCAGTCCACCTTAAAAACTCAGAAAGCCGTCCCTCTGCAGGCTGTTGAGGAATTAATGAACAGCTTCCTGTGTGTGTCACAATGTTTTATTACACGCCTTTTAGAGTGTATTACTGTGTTAGTGTGTGTGGCTGAGTCACACTGTTTTATTACATGCGTGTATTAAAGAGTGCGTTACTGTGTGTGCGCGCGTGCCTGTGTTTGGAGGCACAAAGGGCTCTCTGAAGGTTTTCCTCGGACTAAAATTGATTTTCTTGAAACAAATCTGGGTTGTCTTCCAGGAAGGAGGAGGTGGTGGAGGAAGAAACACAAACACTGCACACACAGTTTTTACAGGAAACATTTGATTTAATTTCTCAGGAAAAAGTTCAGTCCAACTTTATTTGATCAGGATTTATAGGGATAGTGCATTGCTTCATCACAGTAACTTATTCTGTTCACTTCCAGCTGACAGACCAGCTCAGCATGACTCACATTTCACAGTAATCCTTCGGTCTCTGATCCTGGGCCTCTGCAACAATGAGTGAAGCATGAAGCAGAGCAGGTGAGGATGCTCCTGTATGCTGATGATTCAGCTCCATGAAGAAACATCATCCTGTCACTTTACACACTTCAGAACAAACTCAGGATTTAAATCTCAAGTTCTGTCTTTACATTTCTGCTCTTTCTGTCAGACTTTCTGCTTCCACATTTGAAATGAAGTCCCTCAGAATCCAGACTTTTTTATCTTCAAACATAATCTAATCTCAGACTGAACTTTAATCCCTGTCATGAGTTGATATTTATGCCACAAATTTACTCTTTTTGTTTCATATTGTTGATTTTCTACAAAGTATTCATCTAAAGATGTGTTCTCTGGATATAAAGTTTAATAAAAGGATTCTAGCATCACACATCAGTTTTATGTAAAAAGTTTAAAACCCCACAGACACAAGCAATAAAGGCACATTTTAGTCTTTGGCTGCTTCAGTTTGTTCTAAATTTGATTTTTCTGATTTATATCCTGAAAACACTTCAAAACTTGAACAAAAGTGTAAAAATGTATATTTTTCCCTAATATTATATTTCAGATTTCAGTCTTTTTCGTCATTTGAAATGCGTCTCTCTGCATTACGAAGAAACGTTCAGAACGTCTTCCAGGACTGCTGAATGGATGCCAGCGCTCTGCAGACTCTGCAGTAGCCTCTCCACTGTCGCTCGCTTCCCTTCAGCCCGCCTCCACTGCACCAGCCCAGCGAGTGCCGCCGCCTGAGAACTAAGGCTGTGATCGGACCGGCATCGAAACAGCACCTCTGCCGACAGACCCAGATCCAATAGCACCGATTCCCACTCGGCACCGAGCCGCAACGCCAGCTGGGACAACTCTCGATCTGAGGGAACCCGCTGTAGAACCGATTCCGGGAGCCAACAGGCGTCTGCAGACGGACGGAGAACAGGAAGGTCAAAGAAAATAATTTTGTAAACTTTCACCTATATAAAAAAATTCATTGTTTACCTTCTTTTATTATCATAATGTCATTATCATCTCAGAACTAGAACCTCAGTTCTAATTTCAGATTCTGGATTTAATCCTGACTTTTATTTCTATTTCACAGGTTTTGTAATTTTTATTTCAAAATGTGGATTTTAATCAACTTTGAGTTCAAATTTCTAACAATAACATGAACAATAACACTTCTTTAAAAAAAAGTTTCTTTGACATTCAGTTTAAAACTTTTTTTTAGACTTCTCTCGAAAACCAAAACTGTCACAAATAATAATAATAATAAAAAAATCATGTTTAACCTCAGAATATGTACTTTTATGTTTTGTTTTTTTTTTATCAAAATCTTTCATTTAAAAAAACAAAACAAAACATTTGCTTAGACAAAGACTTTATTCTGGTTTAACTGAAGATTTTTTAAATAGAATTTCTAATAATTACTTTTAAATTTATTCTTAGACTACATGTTTATTTCAATTTTAAAATTCTGAAAGTTTCTTTAAACTAATTATTGAATTTTGAGTTTGTCATTCTGAAATATCACAAATTCAGACTTATTTAAAATCTGGACTAAATTTTCACATTTCAAGAAGAAAAAAAGCAGACTTTGATCAACTGATTTACATTTGACCTCTTCAGGTTTATTTCATAATATCAAATTCACCTAACAGATTTCCAGTTTATACTGTTTTAAATCTGAGCATTGCTTTGGTTTGTAAACATTTTATTTTAAATGTTATCTCCAAATGTTTGAATGTTTGGTTTGTAATGTCAGGATTGTGACGTTTTCAGTTTAACACCCTCATAAGGACAAACAGAAGTGAATGGCTGTTTGGATTCTCCGAGCCCGTTGGTGCTCTGCAGGGTGCCGTTTGTTTGTAACCTCAGCTGGTTGAGCAATTCAAACTTTCCGGGGGTCGAACAAACAGTGAAGCGTGGTTACTGTGACCTCACAGGAAAACATGACGCCAACAGCTCATAGTATTTTTTCTGTTGTTGTTGTTGATGCTGCCGTCCAATGAATGAAGACCAAACGGCACAGCCCTCCCACCACCGCCCGCCTACGTTAAAATACTGAGAACTGAAGTTACAGCAAAAACCAGTGACAGCAGAACAAATAAAGTTTATTCAAACGGCCAGAACACAAACAAGTGTAGAATGTTTTTGCCTTTTTCTGCTTCAAATGCCGACATCACTGAATCCATGCACGGCAGGCGTGAGCCCACCAAAATCTATTTAAAAAAACCTGTAATTTACCTTTAAAATCCAGACTTGTTTGCTGCTGCTGTAACCTCCTAGGACCTGACCTCCACATATGTGGACATCAGATTTTGGGTTGTCTAGACCAAAATACTAAATTTTGCTCTACAAGGGCCTGATATCCACTTACGAGGACATTATACTGCCACTGTTCTATCAAAAATCTAAACGAATATCCTCATATGTGGCTCTAATTTTTCTCAGAAACAAAAATCAGGTAAAAAATCAAAAATCTGGTAATTCTTTGTTTTTACATTCATCGGGTCCCAATCAGCCCAAGCATCAAAGAGAAATTAAAAATGCATGCCATGGAAGAGTTCGAGTCTTAGGAGGTTAAGAAGGTGCTCCACAGGTGTGAGAAGGCTTCTCTGCTGCCGCTGATCAGACCGACCCCACACCAGGTAACTAGTGATGGCCAAACTCTGACCGTCTGAGGGGTAGTGAGACGACTCAGACGCCTACAGATCAAAAATAGAACATCTGTTGGCATCCGTCTGTCTGTCTGATCACTGAAAGAGCTTCATTTTGTCCAAAACACAGTTTACCGTCAGCTGTGACAATGATGGAGTATCAAATCCACAAACGTTGGGTTAGGTGGATAACTGTTGATCACATTATTGTATTAATAAATGACTGCTGTTGGTTTTTACTCAGCATCTGATGGAAGCTGCAGATTATTTGTTTCATTAACTTTAAACTGAAAGCATCCACAGTCCCGTGATGAAGATGTGCTTCGGGTTAGACTGAAGGAAGAGGACAGTCTTCCTCTCGGGCTTTAATCAAAGTCAGGAGGCTCGTTAAGACTAATGCTCCGTGTTCAGACTTCCAGCTCACGGGATGACTTCAACCTACAGGAAGTCCTGCACGATTCATTTGGATTCATTTTATAAATAAAAAAATCCACATTTTCAAATTAAAGTCAAAACAAATTTAAAATTCCAACCTCGTGTGTCTGAAGTTTACAATTTCTGGATTAAAAGTGACAAAATTGTGAATTTTATGAATCCAAGTTATGAGATTAGTGTGAACTATACAAATCTAAGATTTGTATTTGAGGATTGAGCAAACAGAGAGAAAGTTACATTTAACACTAAACATCTGAGTCTTTACATTTTAGTTTAGATTAGGACAGAGATGACAGGATTAGACGGTCAGGATTCTGCATCAATACTTTGTCAGCACGACGTGGGACTTTCCTGGAAAAAACAGTCAAAAATCAGGGAATCCGAGAACGGCTGCAGCAGGAAAATTCTGGGAAACTAAACTCAGATAAAAATAAAACAAGGGGATTCTGAGAGGCTGAAAACCCTCCATTCAGAGGAGGAGGAGGAAGAGGAAGAGCTTGTTTTCCTGCCCAGGCCTCCCTCGTCCACCTCCTCCTTTTATTACCTCCCTCTTGGTTTCCAGGAACCTGGCAGCAGCTTCCCAGCCAGATGTTTGGGATCACATTCACATGATGCTGATTCTGCATAATCCCAAACCTCCTTGGAGCAGATCAGTCTCCTCCCATTTTTCTAAGTAGGGAATTTGTTCTGCCGAACACTTTGACTCCTCTGATGTTGATAAATGTTAAATAGTGTATCATATTTGCTACATATATTTTTTGTGGGGGTTTTTAGACTTGCTATTTATTTTTAGGGGGGAAATCACACTGATGATTTCATCAGTGTGATTTCCCCCCTAAAAATAAATAGCACTATCCATTTTTAAGCAATTAAAAAAGCCAAATGCAGCAGATGTGATACAAATTAAAAGTCATATATGAAAACTGAAATGTAATTAATTAATTAAAATAAATTTGTCAGATGGTTCAATAAACTGTTGATTTTCAAAAATTTGAATTTTCTGGAAATTATTTCATGGTTCAGTCCTCAAATCAGACAATACTTCCACGAGGTTTGGTTGAACTAAATGTGACCCACTCACAGTGGTCAGAGTCTTTGATGTAGTCCACGTTACAGAGGTCCAAGAGAAGTGGTCTTACATCTGGACCTGGTCACACTGGATGTAGTCTCCTCGGACAAACATCAGTGACCTCTGACCCTCGTCTGATCCTAAAACAAAGGCCCCAGAGGCTGATCTGTGTCCTGGATCTGGTCTGATGTCAGCAAACAGGCTAAAGTACCTGCCAACAAGACTCCCGGGTTTATGTAGTGAGGTATGATTCCCCCGCACCCTGATTGGTTTTACCTTTGGGTCCGGGTTCAGGTGGGGTCTGGAGCTCCTGCAGCAGTCGGTCCCGGACCCAACTGAAGTCCTGCAGGGACCCCAGGAAGGATTGGAAGGCCCGGGGCCCGCGGCTCGGCAGGAGGTCCAGGAGCCGGAGGGTCTTCTGTCTCTCCGTGGATCGGGACTCGATGTCCTCCACCTGCGCGTCCGTTAAAATCTCCTCCTGGTACAGAAACGGAACGATGGTTTCGCTGACCAGAAGCTGGCCGGACAGCTCCAGTCGGTGTTTTCGGAGGACAGCTCTGTGCGCCGGGTCCATTTCACCGAAACCCGACTAATTAGCTCATAAAAATAAGCAGTTCCACATCATTAAACTAGTCCTTTGTGTCAGCTGTACAACTACCTTTCAACTGCTCTATGTTTTTGTGCTCGGGTGGAAACAAGCAGGCGGAACCAAAGTCTTTGCTAATCACGTTGCGTTCAATTTTTTTTATGGTAATACAATCTAAAATTTGCTTAGATGGTGGTTAATTATGGGATCTATTTGCGTGGAAGGATTGGTTAGTCATTGATCTTAAATTCGGCGTGCGTTTATACCCCGGATAAAATTAACTTTGAGGGAAAACAGATTTTATGCAGATTGCTTCTGATAAGATGATTTCTGGCGACGTAAATGTACGCCGAAGTTCGGTAAGAAGCCTCGCAGAGCGTTCCACTTTACTGATCAATATTCTTGATTAATAAATCCACGAGGAAACCTCAAAAACAAAGTATTGAATTAGGTTCAGCGTACCATAGCATCGAGCAACGTTTCCTAACACACAGCATTAGCTTAAACCAAAGGTAATTTTATAGATACAAGATATTTTTTATTAATAAAAAAAGAAAATAACGTTTATAAAATATCTGCCGAATTCATTAAAAAGCCACAATCTGACCAAAGAAGTTAATATATTTGTTATATATCAGATACTTACATTTAGGAATTTAAAATAAAATTCCCAAACTGAAAGATTTTTCATGGAGTTCACAAAACCTCGTGTCACACTGTCCTTTATTATTTTATTATTTCCTTTTATTTTCAAAGACCAATTTACAGTTAACTGAATCTGTTTTTGACATTGTTATTGATAATATGTGATTCATATGTTTATTTGTGCTTTCATTTCTGTTTTTCTGACTGAAGGACAAACTTCGTACAGGCAACCAACATGAAAAAACATGTTATTCTTCTTTAAAATTAAAAGTGACGGGGATTTAAACTGGAATTAACTGAAATTAAAAACCTTTTTCGCACGTCAAAGTTTTGTGTCTATTCTTCATGTGTTTAATGACATCGCTGAGATTTTATTTTATTTTTTTACTGATTTAATTTCCAGTCAGACATGAGGTTCTACTGATAGATCTGCAAATATGTATGTAATATGTTTTTAACTTAATCCTGTTTCTGGATTTAATGTCCTTCCAAAACATAAACATGATGGGTTTTTTTTAAAAAAAAGAACCATCTATGATGATGTGCAATAAATTTTGCATTTTCTTTAAACATGAAATAAAAAACACAGCTTCATGTGTTTAAAGACTTCTAAAAAGAAAAATCATTTATATATAGCCACAAAATGAAAAACAGTACACTGAGACAAATTCATAAAGCTGACTACTGCACAATGTTCTCATTTGCACATTTAAAAATGTGGGGAAAAGAATCTAAATTTTTACATCTTTAATTTAAAGCACCAGGAAGTTTAATCATGAACATTTGTTATTTCTACAAATCTAGAAAATGAATGGAATAACTTGCAGCAGTTCTTGCTAGAAGAACTTCAACAACAAATATGACCAGTCTATAAACACGTTTCAGGTTTCCTGGCAAACTCAGGCTTCCATAAAGAATGGGCCTTCATAAACTAACCAGAGAAACAAAATTTAACAGAGAGATTTTATTAGCATCATTTGTTTCTTTGTATTAGGTTTTTATTTAAAAAAATCTGATTATTAATGAAGATATTCAGCTTTTTCCTTTCAATAAATGATAAAAAAAAGATTTATTACACACATACCTGGGCTTCCATAGTTTTGTCCTGTGGGTGTGAATCAATAACAGCATGAAGTATAAGCAGCAGTGAGACATTATTGATGAGGCACCATATAAAATTTATTGATCTCCTGGTGGGAGCTGATCAGTTTACATGCTTCAGAAACATACCAGAAATACAGACAGAATCAATTATATACTTTATCAAATCACAGGGGCTGCGATATGTACAAGAACGCGCACACGCCCTGCCTGCTTGGTGCATCCATGCTTAATTCAGCTGCTCTTTGTCATCTTCATCATGGAACTGGTCAGATATCAAGGCTGAAGCACAAACAAACACCCTGATTGGCCCTCCTTATACACACATCACAGGACACACCCTGTTTACCTGAGCAGCTACATGACCAAACAGCTCTGCCCCTTCTCCTTGGCCGATGCTGAGCTGTGATTGGATGTTTGAAAATGATTTTAAAGAAAGGTGACAGAACGTGAGATGCAGCGTCGACGCCCCGTACCCGATCAGGGACAACTTGACAAAAACATAACATGGTCACTTGTGTAACCTTCGTTTCTACGGTAACAAACAGGTTGAATCCATGACTAAATGATTTTTTTCATTAAATTAAGTGCTTGCATGTCTGTTGGATTAATGAGACAACCACAAGATTCCACAGCCCCCCCCAAAAAACATGCAATTTTTGAATGAAGTTCGGTTAAATGTGCTCCAGAGACTCAGCATTAACCATCAACACTGGTGGGTGAATATGAATCCTAAAAACAAAAGCTTTTTAATGAGGCTTGGTCAGGGTTTGTTAAACATGTTTGTGAAATGTGGTGGTTCAGCGGGTTTTGTTTTGTTTGGAGACATATTTGAGACTAAGACCATTTAATCCAAATCACACCCACTTGCACCACATTTCTGGGGATTTTTCTTTTACATTGGGGGTAAAACAAGAACTTTTTGTAAGCAGGAAAAACCCTGATGATTATGATGACGACAACAACAAAGATGGTGCTGAATTTACCGGACTAACTACTAACACCAGCAGGATGTATTTAGATTTTTGAATTGAGTTTGGCTGAATTGCAGTTAAAGGTTCCTTCCTGAGTAAGGGCTCGAAGCTAGAGATATGGTGTCAGTGAGACTTCCTGGTAAAATAAAATAAAGATATAAACATATTTTTTAACCAGGTCTTAGTGTCTGTGCTGAATTTAGGAGATCATGATACTGGTAATAAAAACGTGGGATATTTAAATTGAGTTTGGTTGGAAGGTCTTCACACAGCCTGAAGCTGGTTCATTGCTGCAGACTGAGGTTATTTGATGAACTGAGCTTTGAAAGTGTGCCTTTCCGTCTCCTTGCTACAGGTCCTGCATCTTTACAGCTCTGAGCCAATCACAGTGTAAGAAAACTGAGTATTTACTACATGCAGGTACAAAGTCTGAGGAGCTTGTTTTGATTCTGAACGTCCACGAGGACACCTCGACTCTCCGCCTCACCAGCGTTCACTGTCACAGGCTGTCTGTCGGCCAATCAGAAGGCTCTGTTTACTTGTGTTTACAGGTGGGACTGACAAGCTCTGACTGGTGGAGAAAAATGGAAAATTATTCTTTTTCCTGATTTTTGTTTTCCTTCTGTTAATTATTTCCACAGAAATCCTCACAGAAACTTTCCAACATGAAGAGGCCGAATAATCAATCAAAATATCAATTAGAAAATCAATCTGGAACCGCTGATTGGTGTAAAATATTTTTTTCACTGATCAAATAATCAATAACTTAATGGGAACAATAATAACTAACTTGATCAATAATAAACATTTAAAAATGTGAAATTCAGGTTAATCAATAATCGATTAATTTTTATGTTTCAACACTTAAATTACTGTGACCAGGTTGAAAGAGGTCATATATGGAGGACCAACATGGCCAAAACTGTGCACAAAATTATTAGAAACACACAAAATAATGAAGTTATAATAAGATGGGACATATTTCAGTATTTGTCTCATTTTGTATTAACACCTCTATTAGTTTTATTTACATTTTTTTCAATTTTTGAATTTATTTAAAAATATTTTAAATGAAAATATACATTTATATTTTAGTTTTGTTTCTGTTCTTTTTTGCCTTTGTATCACAGCTTCTGGACACCCACCGTTTACTTTAGATTTGAAATAAAGAGAAAAGCTAGTAACCCATGAACCCACAATTTGCTGTTTACGTTCTTCTGACACCAAACTCCATTCAAAAAAATTCATTTTAAGTAGGCCTGCTACAATTTGTCGTTATAATTGATCATGTTGACTAAGATGCATCCTATAGTAAAACCACATGAATGCGTTTTTGTAATAGCAATACACTACAGGAAGCTAAGGGGGCAGCATCGCCTCTATCACCTGGCAAGACTGCACTCACTACTAATGAAGAAGAACATTGTGTGAACGGCAAAAGCGGATGACAGAAGTAAACTGAAAGGGAGATTAAATTTTTTTTTTAAAAAGTGAAAGTATTTTACAGAAATTAAACACAGTTACAGTTAAACACAGGCTGTGCTAAACGGAGCTTTCCTTCCACGACTCCAGTGCACGAGCATTTCAAACGCTGCCACCCTAGAGCTGTTACATCAGCTCTGATGAGTCCGTTATTGAGAGTTAAGTCAGTGCATCACATTGATACGTTGTTCATGTTCGTACAGTAATGTTTATTTTAGCTTACCTGTCAGAAACCTCTCTGGATGATGCTTGCTAAGCATTTCAGTTTTGCTAGCCAATGAGTGAAATCCAATAGCAAACCAGTACATTTCTGAAAAGAGGCTGATGCACCTCTCAAATTGCTGAAATCATGACAGAGAGCATCTTCAGCATGTTTATCAGCAGCTGGGAACATCATCTCAAAGACAAGAGTGAGCTTTCCTCCAGAGCATGTCTACTGCAGTTGTGAATTCATGAACTGAATCATCTGTAAACTTCAGAAACTTGTTATTTTGAACCTGAACAAAAAATAAAAATAAAAAAAAAATCTTTTTTACATTTTTTAATTTAATTCAAAGCTTTATTCGAGCTTATGGGCACTTTTCTGTTTAAAGTAGCACCTTAATTTATGTTCCTTAATATTTTATTCACTTCACTTTTATTCTGACCGTGCTATTGAGTAATGCTAAAGATACATTTGATTATTTTCAAATTCACACGTTTCCTGGGTAATTATTTGAATTTGCTGTGGAATGAGACAATAGGATGACAGTCACAGGTGGGCAGACCAGAGAAGGTGAGGTCCTGGAGCCTAGAACAGGAGGTTTGCCCACAGAGACAAAAGTTACTGAAATAATCGTTGACTAATTAAAGAAAAATGGACAGATTAGTCAACTACCAATCTTTAG